AGCGAGGTCAACAGCGTGTGCCGCCTGGGCGGCAAGCTGCTGGCCCTGGCCGGCGCCGGCGCCGGCGGCGGCAGGCTGACGGCCGCGGCGGCGGCGGTGGCTGCCGCCGACCGTGCCACGTTTGTGCTGTTCAGGTGCGGCCTGCTGGCCCAAGGGTGTGGGCACTGTTTGCGTTGGGGCTCACCTTCCCGCTCGCCTGTGCCCAGCCGATTGAATGCACAAGCCCCCCTGCCCCAGCTGTTCTTGGGGCTGCTGCACACCGCCCCGCGCCCGCAGCCACCCAGCCGCCACCCAGCCAAGCACCGCCAGCAGGCATGCTCACGTCTGCCTCCACACGCACCCCTCCACTCTTCCCCGCGCAGGCTGGTCCCTCACGCCCTGCTGGGCCTGCTGGTCCTCCTCCAGCCCTCCGCCTTTGCCACCCGCACCTACTACGGCCTGGCTGTGGCGGGCATGGCGTACATGAACGCCAACAACGCCAGGAGGGCGGCCCTGCTGGTGGGGGGCCCTCCCGCCAAGCCGCACGCACACTGAGCAGCCCCCTGGGGGACAGCACACGCACGCCGCTGCCCCCCCCTAGCCTAGCTGGGGAAGCAGTTCTGCCCGACAGCTGTTCTGCCCGACAGATCCAGTGGCCCCGAACACATTGCTATCTCTTGCCGCATTCATGTGCCGCACTTTGCCTCCAATTGACATGGATTTTGTATTTGTACTTGCACCACCACCCCTTCAGCGCCTGTACCCGCTCCACCCATCCCTGGCTTGGCCCATTGGCACCAGCACTTGGCCACTGCGCTGCCCGCCCATCTCGGTGACACACTCGGGCGCAGCACTGCCCACTCATTCAGTCGGTCCCCTGATTCACTTTATTCTTCCCTGCCTGCCCTACTATTGATGTCCGGCACCGCCACCCTCCCTTTGTTTCTTGTAATGCCACGTTTTGCGCCCGTCCTGCCGACGCCTTCAGTGCCTCACTGCTCGGCAGACTGGCGCCGAGGCGCCGCCAGGTTCGCGGCCTCATTGTCCCATGCCACCCGCTGCTGTGCCTGCTGGGCTGGCACCCGCGTGCTGCCGCGCTTGGGGTGCATCTCCTGCGGGCAGGCGGGCAGGCAGGGCTGCTGATGCCCACGTTTCTGCTGCTGCAGGCTGGGCGCACGGAGGAGGGAGCAGGCACGGGAAAGATGGGGAAAATGGGGAGAGGAAAGCCACCCCAGCCCTACCGCACTGCGCCAAGCCCCCACCTGAGCCTCCTGCTCCCCGAGCATGCGCCCCACGCTGATCAGCCTGCCACCCAAGGCCGCCCCCGCCTCGCTGCCGCGCACCGCCGGCTGCACCATGCCGGCCAGCAACGCCACGTTGCCCGCGGCGGAGGCCGCCGTGTGGCCGCCCGCCGCCTGGCCAGGCACCCTGCTCGCCGGGCCTGGCAGGCTGGCGCTGGCCGCTGCACTGGAGGTGAGCAGCGCTGGCGAGCGGGCCTCGGGTGGCACGGCACCAGCATCAGAGCCAACCCCGGTTGGATCACCAGCACCAGGCGGGCTGCCGGGCGGGGGCCCAGGGGAGCCGGTACCTGCAGCAGCCCTTTGGGCCTCGCCGGTTCGGGCGCCACGGCCCAGCTGCTCGCCGGCCTGATAGCCCTGCAGGGGCAAGGGAGGGGCGCGGCGACGCCGTGCCAGCAGTTTCACGGCTGCTCTTGGTGGCAGGGCCCGCACTTGCTAGCGAGCGGCCGAGCATGGCCAGGCGAAAAAGCACAGCACTGCCTCCTGCTGAAGGCGGTTGCGCCGCCGTGAACCCTTGCCCCCGCCCCTGCTCACCAGCACAGCAGCTGCAGCCGCCTCCTGCCCCTGCGGCAGCCTGTCTGCAAAGCTGCCATACAGGGCCGCCTCGAGGGCAGCCTGCGCCTCTGGCACGGCAGCCGCGTGGTGCTGGCGCAGCTGCTGCACCAGACGAAGCCTCTCCAGCTCGTCCCCGCTGCCGGCGGCAGCGTCCCCCGTGGCAGCCGCCGCTGCCTCGCGGTGCTGGCTGTCAAGCTCCAGGGCGGTGGGGGCGGCGGCGGGCAGCCCCAGGCCGAGCTCCACCTCCTGCGCCGCAGCTTGCGGGGCAGCCACACACAGCGCAGAGCAGCTCAGGGGAGACAAGGCAGCCTTCCAGCCCTGTAATGAAGCATTCCCAAGAGTCGACAAGTTTTGGCTGCTCGGTTGAGCAGATTCAATGGCGCTAGCCTCTGGCTCCCCCACTCGCCTTGGGCGGCGCCAGGCTGGCGGGCCGCTCCTCCAGCACATCCCGTGGCAGCTCCGCGGCAAAGCCGTGGGCCGCCGCCGCCACGCCGGCGCCGCCGCGGGTGGTGGCCGCGGTGCGCTCCCCGCTGGGCATAGACGGAATGTCGGGGGATACAGGAGGCTCTGCCGCCGCGGCAGGCGACGCCGCGGGCGGCACGTGGTGGTGGCGCCGCCCGCCGCCCGCTGAGCTCAAGCCCCCTGCCACCGTGCCGCCTCCCTGGCCCTCCACCGCGGCTGCCGCCTGTGGAGGCCTGCCGAACTCTGCAGCCGCCGCGGCGGCTTCGTGCGGAGGGGGCGCGGCAGCGGGCGGGGCGCGCTGCGCCTGCTGCGCCGCCGACAGGCGCTGCCCCAGCTCCTCTCGGGTGGATGCGTACACGCCGCTGTGCCCGTGGTCAAACAGCACCTCAGCCGCCTCTGCAGCCAGGCCATGTGGCGACCAGAGACGGGCCCAGCGGTACGCAGGCGGCTTGATCGTTGCGGTGCATTTGCAGCTGCCTGCTCCCCGCAGCTCACCGTGGGGGTGAGCAGCGCTGCCATGCAAGGCCTCCGCCGCACCCTGCGCCTGCGCCAGGTTGCACTGAAGATGCTGGCCCACACCCACCTGTGAGCTCCTGGAATTCCTGGTGATTGCCCGGCGGCACTGCAGGCAGGTCCAGGTAGGCAGGCAGGCAGGGGCATTGCACCTCATGCCAATGGGCCAGCGGCACAACCGTTGCCGCACAGGGAGGGCCACGGCAGCCCCCTGCCTGCCGAAGCTTGCCTGCATGCCCGCTGCGCACTCGCTCCTGGAAGAAGCGGAGGGCCTCCTCCTTGCTGGCAAACTTCTCCAGCACGGGGCCGCCACCCGCCAGCCGCCTGCACCAGCAGGAAGCCAGCCAGCCAGGCAGCACGTCCTGTTGTGTGGCCTGGCCGGCATGTGCGGCAGGGAAGGGCCCCTGGGGCGCTCTCTGCCGCACCCACGGGCGCTCTCTGCCGCACTGCAGCAGTGCACCTGGGCCCCAGCAACCAGTGCCTCCTACTCCCCACCTCAGCGCCGCCGGCACCGTCTCCCCCGGCTGCAGCAGGCCCAGCAGGCGGGACAGGTACGGCTCCAGCTGGCGCGGCGTCAGCGGCGGCGGCTCAGACACAGGCTCGTTCGGGTACGGCAGGCGCCAGCCCGTGCCGCGATCGGTGCCCTGCGCCCGGTCTGCAGCAGGGCGCAGGGCGGCGCAGCGTCAAGGCTAAGCAGCGGGCTTCAGCGCATCTCCGAGCGGAGTCAGCGTTTCCTGCTGCCCCGCTGCAGCCAGAGTAAGGGCCGCGCAACGTTGGGCCCTTGCGCTGGGCTGAGCTCACCGTCAATCGAGTCCAGCCAGGCATCCTGCTCCTCCGCACGCCCATACTCGATGTAGGTGCCGGCGGGGTCAAAGTAGCCTTCCTGCAGGGCGGTGGTGGTTGTGGTGATGGTGGTGTGTGCACATCACGGGGCGGGGCAGTGGGGCCAGGCATGGGAGTGAGGACGTGCAGCAGGTCGCTGAGGCACGGCCCAATGCTTCCCAAGCCTCAGCCGCATGGTTCGTCGGGACCCCGCCTACCGACAGCTCCCGGCGCAGGTGGAAAGGCTCCACCACATCTCCCGCCTCGTTCACAGGCTCCTCGGGCTGGTCATACAGCTCCTGCGCCTGCAAGGGTGCAGCAGCCGTTGCAGCTTTGGTTCTTGACATAATCGCAACGTCAAAATGTGCCTGGCAGGCCTGGCGGGGGTGCCTGGCGCCAGCGCTGGGCCCCATGTCCTGTGCACTTCAAGGCTTGCCAGCCCCACCCTGAGCGCCTCCCCCAGCGTGCCCTGCTGCTGGCGGCTCTGCCGCAGCAGGGCTCGCTGCGCCCTCGCAAAGCCGGGGTCTGAGGCAGCGTGGCTGGCGCTGAGCGCGGGGTCTGCAGCGGGGAGCGGAAGGCCACAGCGCATGAACCCAGGAGGCAGCATGGTAGTACATGCCGGCCCGCTGCATGCCAGGCCCTATTGCGAGTAAGGGGGGGCAGCGCCCCGTGAATCCACGCGGGTGAATCCACGATGTGCGAGCGACTGCTCCGCATGACGTGCGCTTGTGCCACCCCATGCGCGGCGCAGATGTGCTGGGCAGCAGCCAGAGCGCGACAGCACAGCGTCCGGTTGGCCCTGGGCCGGCAGTGCCTACTCGCCTCCCGGCGGGCAGGGCTCAAAGGGCCGGTCCCCGAGCACCAGCGGCTCCACATCCGCCCGCACGCTGCCCGGCACCTCCTCGTCGATGCCGTCGGCTGCATGCAGGGGTCCATAAATTGTACTCCGGCGCTGCGAGACTGTAGAGGAGGGCGGGCCGCAGCAGCTCGAAAGCCCTGAGGGCAGGGGGAGTCGGCCTGATGTCTTGCCTGGGTCGTCTGCCGCCGGTTGAAGCTCCACAAAGCGGGTCCTCTTGCGGGGGCTCTGAGCGGCCTCTTCCTCCAGCGCCTCGGCATCGTTGAGCGTCGGCCGCCTGTGGCTCATGGTGGCTGCGGGTGCTGCAGCAGAGGCATGGCCTGCAGAGCTCTCTGAGCGGCTCCCTCCTTCACCCGGCAGCGCGACGCGGTCTTGTCCTTGGGAGCAGGCAAAACCACAAGATGCACCTTGCCTTGGACGGCTGCAGAGGCCTTCCTGCGGTTCAGGGGTCCTGGTTTTGCTGGCGATGAACTAGCAAACACCTGTCTGCTCGTCTCCTTGCTCGAGTAGAAACGCTCTGGCCATACACGGTGCACCAAGCCCACAGAAGCGGAGGCGGGTTAGACGCTGACTCAGCTCGCTGACTCAGCTCCCGCTGGCAGCGCAACACTCAAGCGCAACACTCAAGACCTGCCTACTTCCCGATCAAATTCTTACACAATGCAAGGCTGCTCCTGACGCAGCGTACTGGTGTGGCGGCCAGGAGGGGCCATCATCAACCAAAGGGGCGAGAACAGCAATGCACTGCCTCTACGCAATCCAAACAAAACGGGGTGGGGTGGTGATCATTCACCATCCCTCATGAAATACAGGAGAGGCGGCGGGGGCTTGCGGTCACTCAAACCGGGGGGTGGTATGGCACAGGGGGTACAGCTGTGCATGTGCGATGATGCAGTGAGGGGCTGGCAGGAACATGTGTTTGGCGAAGGTCTGTGCACGGCCGGGGCTGTACACAGGGCACTGGTGCGGCATGGGAGGGCGTTGGGAGGGGCATGCGCCCGCGCTCAAGAGGCCTGCCATTATGCAGGGCACAGAAGCTTGTGTGGTGGGAGCAGCAGGCCAAAAAATGGTGTTGGGGATTGCGCCCCAGTTGGGCCCGGCTGGGATGAAAAAGAAGGGGCGGGGTGCATGGCTAGTATCAGCTGCCATGCCTTGTGGAATGCGTAGTGCTGCGCTTCGGCCCGGCGCAGGCCGGGGAGGCGGCGAAAAATGGGGGCAGTGGAGGCAAAAATGGGGATCCGACAAGAAAGAATGCTCGGCAGCGCCGGTGCATGGCACGCTCCTTCAGCATGGCCTGCGGAGCGCTGCCGCTGGTCGCTGGCGCGGCAATGTGGCAACTGGCTGGCGGCAGGGCCTCGGCCCGCCGCCATTGCCGTTCAACAGGACTCACGCTCCAGACATCTGCAGTACACTGTTGCGGTACGGTACCGCCTCACCACTGGAACTTGGCCTGCAGCAGCACATCCTCGTACTGCTCTGCGGCGTGCTCCCAGCTCAGGTCCTGCTCCATGCCCCGCTCCTGCAGGCCCCTGCAGCAGCCGGGCACAGGAGGGAGAGGCGAGGGGAGGCCGCGCGGGCAGGAGGGCCCGAGTTAGCCACCGGTGTGTGCGCTTCGCAAGCAAGCGGCGGGCTTGGCTGCAGTACTGCTAGTAGGGGCGGTGGCCGTGGGTCAACCCCCACACCTGAAGCTGTCCCTGTGCTCGCGGAAGGTGTAGAGCGCGTCGCCCAGGGCGTTGCGGAAGCGACCGGCGTCGGCCATCTCAAAGGTCCAGCCTGCAATGTGGCGCGCGGCGGGCATGTGAGGGGGAGAAGAGCGGAGGAGCAGGGCTGGGGCGGGAGGCTGGCCAAGCGGGAGCAAAGCGAGCAGCAGGCGGCAGGCAGCCGCGGCCAGCCCCTGCTCACCCGTGCCGCTCTTCTCAAAGGGATTGAAGGGCTTGACGGTGTCGCGCAGGCCGCCCACAGAGTGCACAACCGGCACTGCAGGCGCGGCAGATGGACGAGCATGAGACGTCAGAGGCAGGTGGAGAGCAGCGAGCACATGCAGGCGGCCCGAGCTCGGCCGCGGTCGCACGCTTCCGCCCGTCAGGCCCCACCTGTGCCGTAAGCCATGGCATACAGCTGGTTGAGGCCGCAGGGCTCGAAGCGCGAGGGCATCAGCAGCAGGTCGACGCCCGCGGTGATGCGGTGCGCCATCTTCACGCTGAACCCCACCCAGCCGCGGCACTTGTCGTGGTTGCGGGCTTCCATGTCCCTGCACACGGGGGGGCGGCAGCCAGCAGCGCATGCTCAGCACACGCATGCATGCCGCCAGGCCCGACCACGCGCTCTCCCAGCAGGCAGGCAGCAGGCGCCGGCATGCTGGGATCATCAAGGTGTGGCGTCCCTACGCCGCCACCATGCATACGCACACCGAGCCTGGCGCCCCACCCACACGCTCCTGCCACCCCCCCGCCCCACCTCAGAGCGGCCTCCAGGTCCTCGCGACCGCTGCCCAGCAGCACCAGCTGTACGCCCTCTGCAGCCGACGGGGAGCCAGAGAGGCAGGCAAGGCGTCAGCGCCCTGCTCGGCGACAGAACGCCGGCCGCCAAAGCACCGACTTCCTGGCAGGACGAGGCACGACCCAGAGATGGAACCGGCCCACAAACACCCAGCGCGACCGCCACCACCCACCGCCGCCACCGCCACCGCCATCCACCCACAGCACGCACCGCTCATCAGCCAGTCGTAGTTGTCCCTGATCAGGTCCACGCCTTTCTGGTAGTCCAGGCGCCCGATGAAGCCCATCATGGGGATGCTGGCGTCCACAGGCAGCCCCAGCTCCTGCACACGCGGCAGGCAAGAGGGGGGTGACAAGGGGAGGCGGGACCGGGAGCAGAAAAGGAGGTGGGAGGGAGGTTTCTGGAGGGCGGCAGCACAGTGGCGGGTTCACGGGTGCCGCTGCGTGCGGGCATTGGCTGCCTGCCGCCGGCGCTGGCCGCACCCTTTGCAGCGCCTCCTTGCACTGCCGCTTCTTGTCCAGGCTGGCCACGTCATAGTTGCAGTACCCATCTGCAGTACAAGGAGGCACCAGGGCGGTACACGCGGCGGCACGTGACGCGAGGGACGCAGGGCGAGTCTACGCAGGCGCCTCCAAAGGGCAGAGGCCTGGCGGAATCCTCCCGACCAGCAGCCGGCTGGCGCCGCCATCTCTCCTCTCCGCGGCATCTTCCGGATGCCAGCGCCAGCCACAGCAAGGCACGCAGGGCAGGGCAAGAAGGGACTCGCCCGACTGCAGGTGAGGGTCCACCGTGGGGTTCCACTCCTGGTAATCGATGCCGTTGACCACCCCCCGCAGCTTCCAGGCGTGCTCCTGGAAGATGCCGTGCAGGCCCCACCCGCCCTCCTGCGTCTGGCACTCCCACGCGTACCCGTGGCTCACAGCCACCATCCTGCGGCGGTGGAGGGGCGGGTGTGGTGCGTGCATGATGTGCTGATGGTGGTGACGGCGACAAGCACAATGTTCGGCTGCAGGGCTCCTTTTGCGTTGGATCCAGCAGGGGAGGGGGGCAGCAAACTCCAGGCGTGCCGGGCTCCAGGCGTGCCGGGCATCCCTTCAGGCAGGCAGCACCTGCCAGCCAGACCGACCCCTTCCCCAGCCCAGCTTCCTGCCAGCTGGCGCACCTGTGTGCCGTAATGGCCCCAGCCTTCATAATGTTCATGTGCTCCCCGCCCACAGGGTCGTCCAGCCTGCACAGCAGGGGCGGGCGGCGCCAGCGGCAGGCGAGCGGTTGAGCCAGGAGGCGAGGGGTGCAGCAAAACGCTGCGGCAGGCATCTGGCAGGGTCGGAGCGAGCTGCCCCTTGCCGCGCTGCCTCACAGCACCAGCACCAGCGGCACCAGCACACCACGACCACCACCCCCAGCCTCACCACCCGTACCGCCCCGTCACAACGTCCGTACCGCACCTGAACAGCTCCTTGTACTGCTCCGGCACCTCCAGGTGGCTCAGGTCGTCCATGGGGCCGCGACCCTGGTGCGCCACGTTGTGCAGTACCAGCACGGAGCGGGCAAAGTGGTACTTGCCGTGGTCCCGGTAGTGGGCCTGCGGGGTGGTTGGGGAGGGAGGTGTGTGTGTGTGCGCGTGCGTGTGTGCGTGGGGTCCCTGTGCTGGGTTGTGGCGGCAGGCAGCACGGTGCCACATGTGCAATGGGCCGTGCTCTTGCCCACGCCCCGCAACGCCCTGCCCGCGCCCCGCAGCCCCTGCACCCTGGCGCTGCCAGCTGGCGGCTGCTGGCGGCTGACCTGGAGGTAGAAGGGCAGCAGGCTGGTGTGCCAGTCGTTGGCCACAAACACCAGGTTGTCCTCGCCATACACGGCGCCGCCGCAGGGCACCACCCAGGGCGCCTCCAGCGCCGCCTTGCTCAGCAGAGCGCAGCGGAACAAGATGTCCTCTCGGCTGCCGCCGTAGATCTCGGCTGCATAACATGGGTGGGGCGGTGGCGGGGAGTTGGGAAAGCGGGGCGCGGGCGAGAGGATGCAGGGCTGGGTGGGCGGCCGGAAGGCGGCAGCGGCCAGGGGCACGGCAGGAAGGCGGCGGCGAAAGGCAGAGCGCCACCAGCGGCGGCGGCGGCGCCAGAGCTCAGCTCCCGATGGCACACACAAAAGATGAGGAGAACAGCAAGAGAAGCCCCACCTGCCCAGGCGTGGAAGGAGGGATGGTCCACAAACACATAGTCCACCCCATCCTGGTAGGCGTGGAAGTAGCCCACCTGCGGTACGGGTGGGGGCGGTACAGGAGGCGGTACAGGGTGTGTCACCAGCACACCAGGGCCGACACGCTTGCCGCAGGGCTGAGCAGGGCGCTGTTGAGCTCAAGGTGCAAGCCCGCCACCCCTACCTGGCCAGACAGGCCGCCTGCCATCCCTCCTGCACATGATGTACACCTCCACTCCCGCCCCACCTCCACCCCACCCCCACCTCCACCCCACCCCCACTTCCACCACCCACCTCCTGGTCGCTGTCATACACCTTCATGCGGTGCCGCACACCCGTCTCCCACGCATCCTGCACACAGGCAGGCAGGCAGGCAGGCAGGCAGCAGGGCGGCGGCGGGTGGGATGGCGCCCCGCAGCACGCATGTGGCAATGGAAGCAATCGCGCTTCCCTTGCCACCAGCCCCAGCCCGGCCGGCCCCCTGTTTCCCTCCGCGTGCCGACCCTCCCCTCCCCCCCACTCCCCGCGAGCAGCTGATGCAGCTGCGCCTCCCCCGCTGCCCGCCCCCATCCCTCCCTGCTCGGCGCACGTCGTAGTTTTTGTAGCGCGGCGCGATGCACATCACGCGGTGGCCACGCGCCGCCATCGCCTTGGGCAAGGCCTGCATCACGTCGCCCAGGCCGCCTGCGGGCAGGAGGACGCGCAGACACGTGCGTGCGTGTGTGTGTACGCAGGTGTGCATATGGGTGTTCTGGTTCTGGGGGTGCAGGCATTGTGGCGACCGCCGCCGCGCCCAGTCGGAGCCGGCGCCACCCCGGTGGCCGCAGCACGGCTGGCAGCACGGAACAGAGCCGGCACCTCTGAAACGCCGCAGCCCTCGAAGCCACGCGCACGCGCCTCCACCCCACCCCCCCATGCCACCGACTCCCACCCTCCCACCCTCTCCCTCCAGCCCAGCCAGCTCAGGCCCACCTGTCTTGGACCAGGGCGCGCACTCCGCCCCCACAAACACCACATTCATGGCGTTGGGGTTGACGGGCTTGGGAGGCTCTGCGGGCGCGGGAGGCGCCACAGGCTCCTGCACCTGCGCCACGGGTTGCGGCGGTGGAGGGGGCTGGAAGCGCGGCTGCGGCGGCGGCGGCGCCGACGGCATCTCGAACACTTTGGGCGTCACGGCTGGCACGGGGGTTGGGCGGGGGAAGGCCGGGGTGGGCGTGGGCCGCGGGAAGGCTGGCGTGGGCGTGGGCAGGGTGGGGGCGGCAGGGGGTGGAGCGACGGGTCGGGGCGGCGCGGCAGGGGCTGCCGGGGCGGCGACGGGGCGCACAGGCGCGACGGGTGGCGGCGGCTGCATCGCTGGCGGCGGCGGCTGCACTACCGGTGGCGGCGGCGCGGCCGCCACGGGAGGAGGGGGTGGCGGTGCGGCGGCACGGGGTGGCGCAGCAGGCGGCGGCGGCGGCGGCGCGACTGCCGCCGCCTTGGCGGGCGCGGGCTGTCCCAGCTGTTGCAGCAGCCCCTGCTGCGCCCGCTTCCGCTCCTCTATCTGCACACACGCGGAGGCGCAGCGGGGGCGGGAGGCCAGTCAGCCGCATGCGCAGCAGCGGCGCAAGCTGGCGCTGTGCAGACTGGGACCACCCCAATCACTCTGCAGCTGGCACAGGCGACTGCTCGGCGGCTACGGCAGCACATCGCTGCCCGCCGCCTCCAGCTGCGCGACGTGCAGCGCGGCAGCATGCCAAATGCGGCGGCGGCAGCGGGCAAGCGGCAGGCGGCAGCAGGCTCCTTCTCGCCTGGTCAAGCAGCTCCTGGTGCAGCCGCCACATGTCCTCGTCTCCCGAACCCGCAGACGCGGGCTCGCTGCGCCGCCGCGTCTTGCCGCCGGCCGCTGCCACCACGCGCAGGTGGCCGCCGCGGCCCGCGCGGCCTGCGCACAGGAGGGGAGCAGCGGCAGGAGGCGGCGGAGTTGCGAGGCGGCGGGCGCCAAGCCGGCGGGAGGCGGCGGCGGCAGGCACTTGGGGCTGCGTTGCACAGCGCCGCGCCATGAGCGCTCGGGGCCATGAGCACGGAGGCAGATCCAAGCCCCGAGCTGCGGAGACGGGCTCCAGCCAGGGCGCTGAGCCCCACCCAACCCCCAACGCTCTGGTGGGGGTGCCGGCTGGCCCAGTGCTCGACTCACCAGCCCGGCACATCGGTGCAGTCGCAAAGGCGCCCTGCCCGAGCAAGTTGGCGGAGGACCGCATGGTGGCCTGGCGCTGCTACTGGCTCACAGAGCTCCTAGGTGGCCTGGGCGCCGCGCCGTTCAGGCGATCGACACGCTAGATTTCACGGGGTGACGACACGAAACGCACAGGGCGCTCCAACAACTGCAGCGGCGCCAGAGGAGACCCCAGGGCACCACAGGGGAGGCTGGGCAGCTGGAGATCAAACAACAAAGCAGCTGCAGGCCAATGTGAGGTGCTGGGGGACGCCAACAGCTGCGATAGCCGCTGCTCCGACTGCACGGCTCTGTCCGCAGCACGCAGCAGGGCCCCCTCCGATCTCCGTCGTCCGAGCCTCCTGGGCGCCTGGTCAATGTGATGTGTGACCAGGGATGTGTCGGGGCATCGATCATGGCTTGTTCCGTGCGGCCGTGCCCGCCGCCTCTAAGCCGCCGCCGCAGGCAGACCTTCTACCCGACTGAAAACATAACATGTATGGCTGGTGGTGCTGCTCTCACGATGCCAATTGATGCGTTCATACAATGGCCTCAACGGATCTCCAGGCCCCAGCAGGTACAGGCGGCCCACAGAGCCTGCACCGTAAGCGGCGGCGGAGCGCTGCGAGCCTGGAAGGCGGGTCCTGCACAGAACCATCCGCGAATCACCCTCAGGAATGGAAACTCAAGATGGCCATCATCACAAGTGCATTGTGCAGATTGCATTCCGCTCGTGTCATTCCGCCCTCATGCGCCCCGACGCGTCACCGCCTGCCGCCCTTTCCTGGCCGGGTGCCTGTCCCTGCGCCTGAATGGACATACAGCCCCACGTTCACGCCATAAATCTAGCGGCAAGCTGAATCCCAAAGCCCTTGTTGTGAAGCACCCAGGCAGAGCTCTGCCGTGAGGGCGTGTGTTGCGCTGTGAAGCCCTCTTCAGCTCCCGGCCCTCCCGCAGGGTCGGAGTAACGCGGCTAAACCGGCAGCGAAGGAAGCGGCCAGGGTTGTGTGCTGCCAGGCTTCGTCATGAGGCGAGCCCTGAGGGCGGGCAGCCGCCTGGACTGGCTACAGTCCAGGCCAGCGGAGGGGCCAGCGGCCCGCAGCAGCAGTAGCAGCAGCAACGGCGGCGGCCCGGCCGCCGCCGCTGGCGGCGCCGGCGGGCAGCAGGCGCCACCTCCCCCGCTGGGTTCCCTAGCCCGCCTGCAGCAGCACGCCCAGCCGCCGCTGCTGCAGCAGCAGCAGCAGCAGGTGTTGCAGCACCAGCACCAGCATGCCTCCAGGAAGATCCTGGGCGACCCTGTGTCCATGAACCGAGGCACACTCCTGCTGGGCGGCATGGCGCTGCTGGTTGGCGGCGTCGCGCTGGGCGCGCAGGCCGACCGCCTCTCCAAGCGATCAGACCAGCTGCACCTCCCCAGCCTGGGCCTGAACGAGGCGGCAGCAATGGGTGCCGGCCTGGGCATCGGCGGCAGCCGGGGCGGCAGCGGAGCGGCCGCGGCAGATGGGCCGTCGCGGCTGCAGTGGCTGTCGGGTGCGCGGGCCGCCTGCGGCGACAGTCCGGCTTCCCCACCGCATGGTCCGCACCTGGCTCGAGCCACACTCGCTGCACCTCTCCCTCAACCCTTGCCCACTTCCCTCTGGTTCCCTTCTGCCTGTCCCCGCAGACTACCTGCCCTCCTTCCTGTCCCACTCCCACGCCCAGGCTCGAGGCGCCAGCGCCCCGGCGCCGGCCCCGGAGCAGCGCGGCGGCGGCGCCACGCCCCTGGGCGGCTGCCTGTCCCCCTACTTCATCAGCGACGCGGCGGCCAAGGCGGCGCCGGCGGTGGTGAACATCATGGTGCAGGCCGGCGGCTCGCTACCTGTGGGCGTCGGCAGCAGCGGTTCCGGTTTCCTCGTAGATGCAGACGGTGGGCGTGGGGGCGGGCTGGCGTGGGGGCGGGCTGGCTGGCTGGCGTGGGGGCTGGCAGGACGGCGTGTGGGCGTGTGGGTGTGGGTGTGCATACATGCGGTGGTGTGATGGCAGCAGTGGCGGGATGGGTGGACGGGCGTGCGTGAAGCGCCCGCCGCGCCAGGGCGCAGGCGCTGCTCTCGCCTGCACCTCGACGGCCGCCTGCTAGCCCTGAGACCCCTCCTGCTGTGCCTGGCCTCCTGCCTTGCAGGCACCATCCTGACTAATGCTCATGTGGTGTCAGACGCCATCCAGCGCCACTACTACGGCGGCGGCAACAGCGGCAGCGGCGGCAGCGGTGGCGGCGGCGGCGGCAGCAGCGGCGCCGCAGCGCCGCCCGGCGCGGGCAGCAAGGGCATCACCGTCACGCTCCAGGTGTGCAGGCAGGCCCAGCCCTCTGCCTCACTTCGGCGCCTCCCTCTCAGCCTTTGTTCCGGGCCTGGCTCGCTGCACCACTGCCTGCACCTGTCTCGCCCTGCGCCAGCCTGCCCTGGGCCCATCCTTGCGCCTACCAGGCGCATGCCCTGCCACTGCCACTGCCACTGCCACCCCACCCCACCCCAACCCCGCCACCCACACAGCGCTCTGTGCCCACGCACCCCGCAGGACGGCCGCATCTTTGGCGGCCGCCTCGTCTCCTATGACACCGTCAGCGACCTGGCTGTGATCAAGGTGGAGACCGACGCGCCGCTGCCCACCGCCAAGCTGGGTGAGGGCCGGGGGGTGGCAGCGGCGTGGTGGCAGCGGCGGCCAGAGGTCCCCTGGGCGGTGGGTATGTTTGTTGGGAGCAGCTTCAGGAGATGGCTGGCCTGCTGCCCCGTGCGCAGGCCGCTCTGCCAACCTGCGCGTGGGCGAGTGGGTGGTGGCGCTGGGCAGCCCGCTGCACCTGCAGAACAGCGTCACCGCCGGCATCGTCAGGTGCGACGCGCGCCCGCCGCCGCTGTGCATACATGCGGCTGCTGCGGGCGCCGTGGCGCGCTCGCTCAGCCTCCCTGCTGCCCACCCACTCACCGCCGGCATCGCCATCCTGCTGCTTTCTTCCCATCCCTCTTCTCCCTCGGGTGTGCTGCAGCTGCGTGGACCGCAAGGCTGTGGAGTTGGGCCTGGCGGGAGCCCGCACCGACTACATCCAAACAGACGCCGCCATCAACAAGGTGACAAGGTGGCGGGGGCTGGGCGTCAAGCACAGCGGTGGCAGCGTGGGGCAGTGGGTGTCCGGCGGGACCTGCAGCGCCGTTCACCGGTGTGCCGGCGCCGGCTGCGGCAGTAGTATTCCACCCCCGCCTGCCTTGTTGTTTGTGCTGACTGGTGCCGCTGGGGTGTGCATGCTGGCTGGGCTCTAGGGCAACTCAGGCGGCCCGCTTGTCAACCTGTACGGCGAGGTGGTGGGCATCTCAGCCATGAAGGCGGTGGCGGCAGGTGCGCCTGCTCCTCCCTACAGAGCTTCACTTCGGGTTTGGGGCGCGGCAGGCGGCGGCGCCCCGTCACAGTGCTGCGGTGGCTTGCTGGGGGGGCAGGCGCATGTGAGCTGGCGGCCGGCTGTGCAGCCTGGGTGCCACCTGCTGTGCGCCTGACTGGCCCAACCCGCCGCTCGGCCCCGGCCCTGCCTGCCCCGCAGACGGCGTGTCGTTTGCTATCCCAGTGGACACGGCGGTGGATGTGATGCGGCAGCTGAAGGACCACGGCCGCGTGATACGCCCCTACGTGGGCATCAAGATGCTGCAGGTGGGTCGGCGGTGTGTGCGGGGGTGGTGGGGGGTGGTGTGTGTGGGGGGCAGGGTGGGGTGGGGGGGGGTAAGTGTCTGATGCGATACGTGTCTGATTGTTGTTCATGGGTGGGCATGAGCCAGAGCAGAGCGGCGTTGCTGGTGAATGGCCCTAGGGACAGCCAGCAGCCCGCCGAGCCCAGCAGTGTGCGGGCAGCTTGCCAGCCGGTCGGGATGCCGGAGGCGGCACCTCCCGACAGCCCGCGCCCTGGCTGCTCGACTCCGCGATGCCTGCCTCGCTGCCCAACCTCTCAGCCCCGTCCTCTGGCTGCTGCTGCTGCAGCTGAACAGGCACAGCGCTGCGCAGTTCCGCAAGCGCGACCCCAGCTTCCCCTCTGTGGAGGCCGGCATCCTGGTGCCGGGGGTGCACCCAGGCAGCCCTGCGGAGCGAGCGGGCTTGCGCTCGGGAGACTGCATCATAGGTGGGACTGGGGTGCCTGGCTGAGCGGATGCCTGGGTGGGATGTGCAAGCAGGCGAGGCAGGCAGGCGGTGGGTTGGGGAATGAACGGGGCAAGGGCTAGCAGACCAGCGCAGGCCGCGCAGGGCACTGGTGCAGCAAGCCGCTCCCTCCTGAGCCTGCTTGCCTGCCTGCCTGCCGGGCCTGCCACAAACTGTGTGCGCAGGGTTTGGCGAGCGCAGCCACGAGGTGACCACCACCGCCCTGATCAAGGCGCTCGGGGAGCACATCGGCAGGCCGCTGCAGCTGCGCGTGGCGCGGCCTGGGGATGTGGTGGAGACACTGACTGTGGTGGCGTTGGAGGCTGCCGACCCGGTGCGCTAGCCAGCCCCGCGACAGCCCTGCGTGCCAGGCTGTCCTCAAGATGGCCGGTCAGGTCCCAGGCCTGCATGTGCACCAGACGGCCAGTGCCTGGCCACAGGCAGGACAGAGTTGACTGGACTATGCTGGTACTGACCTTTCTTTCTTCTTTTCCATTTCATGTTTGACGCATCCTCATCTGCCCTGCCTACCCTGCCTACCTGTCGCAATGCCCCCTGTAATTATCAACTGTTCACACAGCGGCAATGAGGCATGGCATGGCATTGCAGTGGTCCAAGCCACAAACAGCAGCAGGCCGCCGTGGCGACGGTATGGCTGTTGCAGCAGGCGCGCCAGGGAGCCGGAGGAGCACACCTCTATCGGCACCGCGGGCAAGGTCTCCAGCGGATCAGTGCAGGGAAGGGCCCGAGCAGTCTTCTGTTGTGGGCCGACCCAGCCAGCCGCTGGCGAGCACCCAGTGCTGCCGCCGCCACCGCGATTACCCGAGTGTGCAAGCCACCAAAAGAACTGTCAACAGCGCCAGCGCCACCCATCGCGCAGCGCCGTGCATGTACATCTACATAAAATAACTTGCTGTTTCGGCGTTCTGATCAAAGCTGCATACTATGGACAGCCTCTTGCAGCACCCGGCCCAACTTGTGCCGCCGCCGCCCGCCACGCTTCGCCCGCTGCGAGCCTCATTGCTGTTTTTAAGGGTGGGAGGCGGATTTCTGCAACCTCTGCAGCCAGCATTCGCTCGCGGGTCTTTTCTGCTTGCGTTTGGCGGTCGCGGGACAGCCCCGGTAGTTGCAACTGCAACTCCCAACGACCATTCTGCTCGGGCCGGCTCGGTAGGGCCGGCGTCGACGGGCCGCGATGTTCAGCCACCTCTGGCTCACCCCGCGGGACAAGCAGGGGCGGGAGGACAAGGCCCGCCCACCCCACCGCCTGGCATTGGCGGTGGCGGCGGCAGGCGGCGGCGACAGCCCCCGGGCCGCCTCGCGCCTCACGCCCGCCGCACAGACCGCGTCGCTTAGCAGCGGCAGTGGCTGCCGCAGCCCCAGGAGCCCGCAGGGGTGTCAGAGCAGCAGGGTGGCGGCGCTGCCAGCCTACCGCGCCCGTAGCAGCGCTCCCGGCGGCGTGCAGCAGCTGCCGCAGGTGCAGGCGGCGGGGGAGCAGCCCGCAGCCGCCTACACCTCCCTGGATGGGCTGTCCAAGATGGGTAGGCCCCATGCAGGCTGCTTTCTTTCGGTGACCTGCACTGCAGCACACATGCATGGCACTTGAGACGGTACCCATTTGCCGCCTCTTCCTCCGGCCCCTAATCGCAGCCGAGCTCCACAAGGGCAAGCACAGCACGGTGCACAACTACCTGGACACCCGCAGCGGGCGTGTGGTGGCGGTTAAGACCTACTACAAGCGCACGATGGCCAAGCGCCACTTCCGCAACTGCAGACGCGAGGTGGACATCAACCGCATGCTGGCGCGGCAGGGGTGAGTCGAGGCCGCTGGGTGCTGAGGCAGGTGGCGACAGCTGGCGCGGCGAGACCTTCACAGGGGCAGGCTGAATGCGGTGGCAGCTTTGACGGCATTGACGGCCTGGCCAGCTTGACCACTCAATCGGTTGTAGTGTGGATTTGTTGCGAGCGCATCTGCATTAACGTGGCAAGGGCCCTCGCCCTGTCCCCGCCCCTCCCCGCAGGTTTACCGGCACGGTGCAGCTGCTGGGGGCGTTTGAGGACGACAGCCACATCCACCTTGTGATGGAGAGCTGTGCAGGTGAGCTCGGCTGCATGCTCTTGTTCTGTGTGACAGGATGTCGCAAGGACGGGTGACATGAGCGTCAGCCAGCTGGGACGCCATTCCTGCCCATCTGTGCGCAGGCGGCGACCTGTACCGCCGCTTGGTTCGTGCCGGCGGCGTGCTGGGCGAGGCGGAGGTGTGCCACAACGTGGTGGTGCCGCTGCTGCTTACCCTCACCTTCCTCCACGCCAACCACATTGCCCACAGGTGGGCACGCCTCCACCTCAGTGCCCCGCACCATCACCGGTCCATTCTCCTGAAGCTGCCTACTTGCCGCGTTCATCCCTGCTTGACCCTGCTTGCCCGCATCTGCCAGGTTCTTGCCCCTGAACCGCTGCTGCTGCCTGCCGCCTGCCGCCGCCTGCTCCCTGCACAGGGACATCAAGCCAGAGAACATCATGTTTGCGGCAGACGGCAGCCTGCGGCTGGGGGACTTTGGGCTGAGCATCGATGCGGCGCGGGAGCGGCCCACCTCGCGGGTCGGCACACTGGACTACATGTGAGGGCCTGCGCATGCCGTGTGGCACACTCCCGCCTCTCAGGGTGCTGGTGGCACCTACCACCGCGGGGCCTGGCAGTACTTGCAGTGAGGCTCAGGCGCAGGGGCCCATCATGCATTGGTTCTTGACCTTGTGTTTGGCCTGTGGTGTGTGCTATGCAGGGCGCCAGAGGTGGTGGGCATGCCGTCTCCCGACGACATGCAGCGGCTGGGGCTGGCGCCTCACAAGATTGGACACTACGGCTGCAAGGTGCTGTGGCGTGTGGTGGTGGCGCTGGCGCCTTATAAATGAACGGTTGCCCGGTTCCCTGTCATGGTTCGGTTGCATGGAGGCGGCACAGGGGGGCGTGGGCTGCCTGGTGTTGAGGCTCCCCTGCTCCCCTGCCCGCTCCGCCCGCAGGTGGATGTGTGGGCAGTAGGGGTCCTGGCTTATGAGCTGCTCTGTGGCCGCCCGCCGTTTGAGGTGCGGCTCACGTTGCTGCTGTGCTTGCAGGCGCAGCAGGAACCGCCTTGGTTGCTGGCTCATCATTGGAACCCATGCCCGTGCCCACTCGCCTCCCGCCTGCCCGCCATGCCCTAAACATTGTGCCAGAATCGGTTGCCACCCTGCGTGTCCCGCTGCTGGCTTGCAGGTGGAGGATGTGAAGCTGACCGAGCAGCACATCCAGTTCGCAGAGGTGGCCTTCCCGCCCCACATCTCACCCCTGTGCCGCAGCTTCATCCAGCAGGTGCTTCGTGGGCTGGATGGCTGGCTGGGCTGGGGCTCCCGGTATGATGCAGGCAAAACAGCCACACTCGGCCATGCACAGCCTGGCACTGTGCAGCCTGCCCACCTTTTGCCACGTGTGCTTGCAGGCGCTGACCAAGCGGCCCGAGAGCCGCCCCTCGGCGGCGCAGCTGTTCCAGCACCGCTGGGTGCAGCGCCACTACCAGCAGCTGCTGGCGGCACAGGCGCAGGCGCAGCCGGCGGCAGCGACCATGTCGGCAGCGGCGGCGGCGGCGGCGGTTGCAGCGGCAGCGGGGCTCCTACACACCCCCGAGCTTCGCCGCACCGTCAGCCAGCCGCCGTCGCCGAGCAAGAGCATGCCGGGAGGCACGGCGGGCGGCGGGGCGGGGAATGCGGTGCTGACGCCTGCGGCGGCGGCGGCCGTGCTAGCGCCCTTCCTGCCGCTGTCCCAAGCCAAGATGGCGCACAAGGTGCGATGGCGGGGAAGTGAGCATGTGGTGGTTGTGGTGTCCTGCTGCAAGCCGCTGCCGCAGAGCCGTTGTGGCGTCAGCGCACTGCCCTCCCGTGCATTGCCTTTGTCTGGCTTGTTGAGATGGCTGGATGGGGCCTGGCTTGCCTTGCAGGTGCGGCTGCTGTCCGCCGGCCGGCCGCCCAGCAGCGGCAAGCCAGCGCGGCTTCGTCGGCGGGTGTCCGACCCCCTGGCTCGCGTCTTGCTGCAGCCACCGCCAGCAGGGGCAGGAGCGGCAGAGCTGGCAGTGGCGGCAGCAGCAGCAGCAGGGGTGCCCCCCACCACGCCGCCCCCCGCAGCAGCAGCACCCCCTGCCTGCGCCAGCGATGGCGCTGGGTCTGTGGCGCCTGCAGCTGACGTGGGGGACGACGCAGCCAGCGGCGCTGCGGCGCCAGACTGCTTTGAGCAGCCAGGCACGCCAGGCCTCAAGACCACCCCGCTTCCCCGGCAGCGGCCTGTGGTGCAGCCGCGCGCCCCGTTGGGCCGCACACCCTTCCTGCTGCCCCTGGTCTCGCCTGGCAGCAGCGGCACGGCCGTCGGCACCTCTGCGCCTGCCGACCTGCAGCCCGTGGCTGCAGGCGTGCGTGGCAAGACGGCTGCTGGACGCAGCCGCTTTGCGGCGGCGGCGGAGAATGACGAAGGCGCGGCGTCGGCGTCGGCGGCGATGCGTGCGTCGGCGGAAACGATGCTGAGCAGCCCCGGGGCGGCGCTTGTGGGCCGCGCCAGCTCCCTCACGTCCCTCTGCTCACGAGACGGTGGCAGCAGCAGCAACCTGCAGGTGCAGGAGCGCGGCGCCAGCTTCACGTCTGCATTCGGCGGCAGCAGCGGCGGCAACCTGCCGCTCCAGGCCCGCGCCAGCTCCTTCACCAGCTATGGCGGCGGCGGCAGCAGCGGCAGCCTGCAGCTGGCGGCCCGTGCCAGTTCCCTCACCTCCTTTGGCGGGCGCAGCAGCGGCAACCTGTCCAGTCCCGGCAGCAAGCAGCTGCCAGGCAAGCCGCCGGCGGGGGAAGCGGGCCAGCAAGCGGGCACGGCGGCAGAGCTGCTGCAGCGGTTGCAGCTGTAGGCGTGCATCGGCGTGTACATTCTAGTGCATCATGGCAGCTTCCTTTCGCATGTAACAAGCGCACAGCCTTGGTGCGGTAACCCATGTGGGTGCAGAGAAGCAAAGAATACAACAGTCTGGCTTGGCATGGGTGGCTGTGTGTGGCGGGGTATAATCAGCAGGCGGCTTTGCGTGCTGAAGAGCTCCAAAAGCTCCAAAGTTTGCACCGAACGGCAGGTCACAGCATGCCCACTCTGACGGGATGTGTTGGGAGGAGGGGAGATGAGCGGGCACCGACGGCCTGGCGGCAGAAGCACAATCCTTCCGCGCAGCTGGGGAACCGGCGGGCGCTCAGCTGGCGCAACTGGAACAGTTAGCAGCAAATTGGGGGAGGTGCGGTGGGGCGGGCCTGCTGCGACTCCAGTTCGTCGCGGCGCTGCTCCTGCCACTCTCGAAGCAGCTGCTAACATTACACACGTTTGTCGCAAACAACAATAACAGGCCCAGGGGGCACACACAACTTGGAGGGAAGAAAGAACGCCAACATAGAAACTGGAGAGAGAGAATGAGGGAAGGGGGACTCCTCGGAGGAGCGCCTGCAGCGCCGCCAGCGCTGGACGCTGCCGCCGCTGCGATCGCCGCCGCCGCCGCTGCCGACGTGGTCGCTGCCGCCGGCTGCGCCTGTGCCTGCGCCGCTAGCAGCTGCTGGTAGTGCTGCTGCACCCAGCGGTGCTGGAACAGCTGCGCCGCTGAGGGGCGGCTCTCTGGCCGCTTGGTCAGCGCCTGCAGGCACACGTGGCAAAAGGTGGGCAGGCTGCACAGTGCCAGACTGTGCATGGCTGAGTGTGGCTGTTTGCCTGCATCATACCGGGAGCCCCAGCCCACCCCCGCCCACCGCCGCCCAGCCCAGCCAGCCATCCAGCCCACGAAGCACCTGCTGGATGAAGCTGCGGCACAGGGGTGAGATGTGGGGCGGGAAGGCCACCTCTGCGAACTGGATGTGCTGCTCGGTCAGCTTCACATCCTCCACCTGCAAGCCAGCAGCGGGACACGCAGGGTGGCAACCGATTCTGGCACAATATTTAGGGCATGAGCAGGCAGGCGGGAAGCCAGTGGGCACAGGCATAGGTTCCAATGATGAGCCAGCAACCAGGACGGTTCTGCTGCGCCTGCAAGCACAGCATGCACGACGTCCGCAGCTGCAGCGGCCTGCCGATGTGCTCCCCTAGCGCCTTGATCAGGGCGGTGGTGGTCACCTCGTGGCAGCGCTCGCCAAACCCTGCACACACAGTATGTGGCAGGCCCGGCAGGCAGGCAGACAGACAGGCACGGGAGGGGAGCTGCTTGCTGCACCAGCAACCGGAGCGGCCTGTGCTGGGCAGCCAGCCTTGGCCGCGTTCATCCCCTCACCTGCCGCCTGCATGCCTCACTCACCGGCGCATCCCACCCAGGCAGCCGCTAAGCCAGGCACCCCCCTCCCGCCTATGATGCACTGGAAGCTAGGCCAGGTGGCGGGCTCTGGGCCTGGCAAGTCCTTGGGCAATATCAGGCATGATCCAGACGCCGAGATGGGGCAGCATCACCGTCGCCAGCTAGCTCCCCTGAGGAAACACGGATGCTCATGGGCCCCTCGCCGATGCAGATCTCCAACAGCATGGAGCGGGTTCCGGAGGTGACTCGTGCTGCGGGCCGCCGTGGCCAAACGGGAAGCGGCGGGAGCCGCCCGCGCCGTGGGGATGCGGCTTCTGCATGTCGCCGCCGCCGAGAGAGGCACCGCTGTAGATTTCGGCACCTTCGTCG